GGAAGGGAAAGAAACGGAGAACTTCGATTGGTACATATTCTTATGATTTACGTGTTATGCGTTACGCAAGAGTCTGTGCTCTCCGCTTTAGACCGCGATTGGCCCGACTGAACAAGCATGGTGATTCTGACGCGGCGTTGTGAACGGCAATAAGCCAAAGCGCATCGCTTTGGCCGTTGCTGTTGGCGTGATCCGCGGGATCCGCCGAGTAAACATCGATTCGTGCATTATCGCCGCGTGCGAGGTGAACGTGTGTGTTCGTATCGCTGCTGCGGAACTGACGAGTGTCGAATAATCGATCAGACCGTTCCAAGACCATTTACACATTTCGTGGAACGAGACGGAGTGTTTGTTACGCCTCTCCGAGTCAACCGTTCGAAATTCGGAGGATCAAATCTGCGTTTCGTCGTACGCCGTGATCGTCGTGATCGTTGTGAGTAGTTGGCGCTCGAACGTTGCCAGAATGGCAACGGTGAAGGATCGTAGGTGCAGCGGCGCGGGATGGCGATGCGTCACGGTGTGACATTGATTCGGGATCGAATCCTCCCGACGTCGTCGCCGTTTCGCGGAATTGTCCATCGGTTGACCCGCGCCTGCGGCCAACCAGCCTCGGCAGTCGAACAGCGCAATCGATAATCCCTGCGAGCGCTTTTTGCGCTGGGCGCGAGATCGTAATGGCGAGAGCGTGGCGTCGATGGACGATAGGCGGCAAGAGTGGGAGACAGTGGTAAAAAAAACAATACTGAATCGCTAGGCAGCGTGTAAGTGACCGAGACGTTGCGGGCGGAGGCGCGTATCGCCGGAGCACAGGAACTTTTCGTAAAGTATAAGAGAATCAATCGAGCGATCCTTCGTTTCATGAAAGGGCAAGACTTTTATTAATTGGCTGCGTTCAAGCAAAAGAAGCATCTTTACAGTTGTAAGAATCTTTCGTATGATCAGTTTTACATTTAAATCCGGCAAGGAACTAAGGACGATAGTCAATCCTTTTAAAAGGTCTGTTTGTCCTGCTTGAAGTCTCTCAAATTTAAAATGAGATAAACATATTCCAGCGTTTTGAAGAGGAAGAAAGCGATAATGAGTGCAAAAAGTGCAAACAATGCGAACAGACCTGAAGAATCTTACAACTTTACAATTGTAGAACTGCTTTTTCTACTGAATTCGGTCATAAGTTGTCTTATAGTTTGTGCATTGTACGTTATGCAAAGGTCTGTGCTCCGGTCTTATCGGCGAGCGCGATGCTCCCGCACGCCGATTCGGGGAAGGGTGTAGTCCCGGCGCGCGCTTCCGGCGCGTCAGGTTCTTCTCTCCTTTTTTTTCCCCTCTTCTCGTCGTGATGATGTGTTCGACGTTCGTACTCGTTTGAAAACGCGTTATCCGCACCCGCAAAACGTGAATTCACTGATGCACGACGTTTTATTAAATAAGTGTAACGAAAGCGGGAAACGGAGCATATCCGGAATTCCGAGTGTATGTTTCCTCAAAACTGATGAATTATTGATATTCAACTGAATTAACGACATTTCTGTAATTGCAGTTCATAATTTATGTCAAATAAACGACTGATGTATTCGAAATGTCGCGCAAAGTACTCCATCTCGGTACTTGCTATTTCTGTTTGAAAAAGAGTTACAATATTTATGGAATTTCGCTCTTTGTCATTGAATTGATACAGCGGTGGGAGGAGACATGCCAAAACTCACATTCCTGTAAAAATAGCATCGCAAAAATTCGGATTGGAGACCGATGAATTCGCGCTTTGTCCAGTATTTTTTTCGGAAGACAAATTTAATCGATAGTTATAAGATGGAATTTAGAATCACAATATAAACAGGATAATAGACGAATTAATTTCATTACATTTATGAATATATTTTTTTATTGAATGTAATATTTTTTTGACAACTTATTTACTTATTTTGTAATTTAAAAAATTAAAGTTTGACATTTAAAAAAATTTGCATATTCATGTTTTTTTTAATTTAAGAGAAAGAAATTAACTTATAGCTAAAATCAACTATAATTTAAGATAGAAATATTCTACTTTTCAGATTTTATCTCAGATTTTATTTCAGATATTATGAATCGGAGAAAATTAATCGAAGAAGTATTGCCTCTGTATGATTTCAGATTGCTGACGAAGATTTTTTATAGATGTAAACAAGGATATTATGCATACCCACTACACCTAATTGATACATCACCTTTCAAATATGGATGACGAAGAAGGAGCTTCGAGTTCTGGACCTATGTCTTCATTAAACAGCTTGTTTTCATTCACCAGTCCCGCTGTGAAAAAATTGCTCGGCTGGAAGCAAGGCGACGAGGAGGAGAAATGGGCTGAGAAAGCAGTGGATTCGTTAGTGAAAAAACTAAAGAAGCGCAAAGGCGCGATCGAAGAACTGGAACGAGCACTGAGCTGTCCTGGAACTCCAAGTAAATGCGTGACGATTCCTAGAAGCTTAGACGGTAGATTGCAGGTTTCGCATCGCAAGGGCTTGCCGCATGTGATATATTGTAGAGTCTGGCGCTGGCCAGATCTCCAGTCACATCACGAATTGAAACCGCTGGACTTGTGTCAGTTTCCATTTTCTGCCAAACAGAAGGAAGTCTGCATCAATCCTTATCATTACAAAAGGGTTGAGAGCCCGGTACTGCCACCAGTGTTGGTTCCTAGACACTCGGAATATGCTCCCGGCCATTCTCTGTTGCCATTTCAG